TTAACACTTTTTATTAATGTTTTACATATAAAAATTATTCACGTGCAACGCACGTGTTGCATTGCAAGTTTCATTAAAAACCATTATATACTTACTATATTATTTTTCATCTTTCTTATTATAAACTAATTCATATCTAGAGTACATCGTACATAGATCTTCTTATCACGCATCTTAGTACGAATGATTGATGTTTACTTTTTACTTTTTATCAATCAATGAAGTTTAAATTGTCTTTATAATCCATAAATAAAATCATCAATTTATTATTCATACAAAAAATAAATAATTACTGTATGAAAATCTATAGTTCTCAAAAAATAAAAAAAAATCTGAAGTCCAAGCTAATCAGCAATTGAAAAAAAATAGGTGACCAATACAAAAAAAATAAGACAGTAATTGCACCAACAAAAAATGTTCAAAACCAATTTAAACGCTATGTGTTGAAATTATTCAAACATCCTATCATTGTGTACTGAAATTTTATAAGTAACATAGTGTCTTCAGACACGGGCAATGACTAATAAAGTACAATACATTTCAAATCTCAAAAGATAAATAAAATGACTTTTACTTTTCTTAGTTGAGATCTTTTTAAATTTATTTTAAAATTAATCCGATTACTAATATTAAAACCCCAAATTTAATAGGAAAATATAGGCCCATAAAGACGTGTTTGGGATTTACTTTTTAAAAATATTTACAAAACTTATAACTTCTCATAAGTACTTTAAAAGAAAAAGTAGTGTTTGAAACCGCCTCACCTTCACCACCACCACTACAAGTATTCTACTATCATCACCATTACCAGTACCACCACCATAGTCGTCACTGCTGCTGCCACACCCACCACCATCACCACTACCACCCCCACCCCCACCACCACCACCCTATAACTACTACCCTCACCCACCATCACCATTATCACCACCCCATCACCAATCCCAGCACTAGTGCTATTATCCTATCATCACCACTACCACCATAATTGCTGCTGCCACCCCACCACCACCATCATCATCCACTACCGATTGCTACCACCGTCGTCTATCGTCATCACTCATCACTATTGTCATCTCATTCTTATATTTATTATCACTACCACCATCATCCCATTACCAGCGTCACCCACCATCAGCGTCACCCACCATCAGCACCCACTATCACCATTATTGTCCACCACCACCCATCGTCGCCCACAATCACCGCTAGTCACAATCACCCACCTAACACCACACCTATCACCACCACCCGTCATTACCCACCATTGCTGCCACCCATTATCACCCACCCCAACCACACCTACCACCACCATCAGTATTGTCATTCACCTCCACCCATCACACGATCGTCCAGAAGCATCCGTTGTCGCCCATAACCACTATCGTCACCACCCACCACTACTGTCGTCGCTCCACCACCACTCACACCCACCGCCATAACCCCATAACTGCCATTACCACCACCATCACTATTTCCACCCGCAACTGTCATCACCACCATGGTCATCGCCACCCACCACAACTATCACTATCACCCACCACTACCACTGTTGCCTACCACCACTCACTCTTATTACAATCGGTGCTTAAAATTCGTTCTCTCTCTTGTATGTGTGAGATTTGATTTTGGGTATGAATATAAATATGTTTATTGTTAACTATTTTTTTTATTACTCTGTACCTTTAGACACAGACAATAACTAGTAAATAAATAATACAATTGAATCCACTAATATCACAGCCATCGTTTCATCACATAAATTTAATAATAAATAAATAAATAAGACAAGTGAATTTCACTAATTTCTTTTTTTTTTTTTTTTTATCAATATTCATACAGAGGATGAATAAGGGTATTCGGTGAGACTCGAACCTTGCATCAAGAGGCAAGGTAAGAAAGACACTAACCACTAGGTCATTTCTTTAAACTCCACATAATGGTTGTTGAATGTTAAAGATAGGATAGTTTTCAATAGTTAAGGGTATTCGGGCCAACTTACACGCACTTCGATTAATTCTCTCTTCGGTTTAATCAAAAATAGGTCATATATATCGGAATTAATGTATTTATGAAGCTCATAATTTAGACTTAAAAAGTTGCCAACAAGTCCTATGTTTTTATTAATAATTAGTTCGGGAATAATGACATTATGTTAGTTGGGAAGTCCATATACATTCAAAAAAAAAATGTATTTCTATAATTACATCAACCTACCTCAAATTTTATTGGTATTCACCATAAATTAATGCTACAAAAAAGAGAGTTCCTATCATTTTTTTCCCCAGGTTGGTTGCTTATCAATTTCTAGGAAAAAGAAACTAATTTATTTTAGTTTCTGAAAGAAGCTGTGATCAAAGATTGGCTAATGAAATCTCAAGTTGCATGATATTTTATTTTGGTCAATCTTAATCTGTTTGATATTCTACATCAAAATTTTTAGACTGGTCAAAATTGAGACGAGGGAGGCAACCTTGGCAAAACTTTTGGACATCAATGGTATCAAACTTATGAATATTCAGACTATAACTATTTTGATGAATAGTTACTCATTTTTGACAATCATACGATTCCAAAAGATGATTCAGAATTGACTCAATCACATTTGTTATAGGTTGACAATAGAAAGGTTGTACTAGTCAAAACTCATCTACGTATTATCATAACACCTGTGTATTTTGACTATTATTTATGTTGTATTGATATAATATGACAATGGAAGGAATTTTTTGACAACTCTAAACTCTTGGTCCAAATTGAGAGGGAGAGTGGGAGGGGCACAACTTTGGTTTTTTGAATAATATTTATATTGCATTGAATTAATCCTATGAATAAAATATTAAAAAAATTGCTAATCAAATAAATATATACCTTTAAAACCTTCTCACCGTTCGTTGGAAAGACTGGGAGGCAGATGTGAGTTGGGCCCTTATTTTAGCCCAAGCCTTTTACCCCTAAGAATTTTTTTGGTGGTTTTTTTTTCTACTTATCCCGAATTTTTTTTGGGATTTAGGGATGTCGGTACTTCCCAAAAAATTTAATAGGATAAAAGTATACTTTTTAAAATAATTGGGATAGAAATACATATGATAAAAAAAAGATATAAAAGCCCTTTTACCCCTACCATAAATAGTACATACCTAATTGAATGTGAGACTTTCAAGATTAGAATGTGAGACTTTCAAGATTTTTTTTTATATTTGTGAATCATTTAAATTTTGAAATTTTATATATATACACACACACACACACGTAATACTGTGACATGCTCAACAAAAAAATAGTAACATCAAATAGTGACAAAATCAACAAAAAAAAAGTAACATCAAACAATAACACACTCAACAAAAAAATAGTAACATCAAACAGTAACACAAATATTTTTGTTGAGCATGTCACTGTTTGATGTTATTCTTTTTTTGTTGACCGTGATACTGTTTGATGTCACTGTATTATGTGTGTGCGTGTGTGTGTGTATATATATATATATGAAATTTCAATATTCAAATGATACACAAATATCAAAAGGAATCTTGAAAGTCTCACATTCTAATCCAAAAAGTTTCACATTCAAGTAGATATGCATTATTTATGGTAGGGGTAATTATGAAATACATTTTAGAAAGAATTTGATAATGTTTTAAAATGTGTACTTATTGACAACTATTTTATGAAAAAGATGACTGAAACGAGGATAAGTTTGAAGGTGGTACTTAAAGCCAAATAAGTTTTGAAAAGGTACTCACATCTCATTATCTCATTTTTTTTTTCTTCACCATTTTAGTCTTTGTCGAAAAAACATTTGAAACTTTTCAAAATTTTAAATTCTTTTGATAAAATGTGTGATTGTTTTTGTCTTCTCTATTCTAGTTTTTTTCAAAAAAAAATTTTCTTGTTATCGTCTTGTACAATTGTATTTTGTTTGATGTTTTGTGTTTTGTGTTCCAGACATTTGTTCGAATGAATTCCAAATTTTTTTTCACAATGCAATGTGACTAGTTACTTAACAATTGTGACAAGTCTTTGAAAAACAATAGGATAATATACTCAAAAACAATGCGACAATCTATTAAACAATGTGACAAGTTACTTAAAAAGTGTTACGAGTCCCTAAAAAAATATGGTAGTATACTCACAAATAATATGACAACAAATTAATCAATGTGACAAGTTATTCAAAAAGTGTGACATATTACCGAAAAATAATGTGACAATATACTTAAAAACAATGTGACTCTAACAATCTAGTAGTTCTGGCGATGGAAACTTCAAATCAGTAGTTCCAACTGTGGAAGCTTCAAACCACTTGGATGCTATGTTCTTTGATCTTCTCTATCACGATGAAATAGTTTTTTGGCACTTCATTACATGAATCCGCAAGAGATGGAACATCGAAATTAGTTGGATTTGTTTTTCAAATTTAAAAGCAACAAAATCAACAAGATTTTTCGTTTGTTGATGGATCCGGTGATGGATCGTTTGAGTGGTGACCGGTTAGCGTTTAATTAGAGTTGTGATGTTTCAGTTTTCTTAACAGACTTTGAAGTATCTATAATCGTGCATAAGGGTACCACTGTCAGTTTGCCTAAAAGTGGACTTTTATTCAAAATATTTTTTAATTTGAATTTTTTTTCTCAAACAAGTCCTCCAGAGGGTATCGATTTCCAAGGACTCTATTACTTGGGGTCCTCTTTTTTTGGGGCCTTAAAGAGCTACTTCAGTGGCCTTTCTATTGTGCCGACTTAAGTGAAAAGCGAGTGATTTTTTTTTAATGAAGTTATTCGATTTAAATTGATTTTTTAATTTTTAATAAATTCGAATATCCACTTCAAAAATAATATTTATCGAATCGAATTTGAATAAATATCAAGTACTTGAGCCATGCAAACCAAACAGAGGAAAAGAAATGCATATATTCTACGTGCATGTATAAAACCTCTCTAACAAAACACTATACCCACATATCACGAGTTGTTCTAAGGAATTATCAATTTCCTTACTTTGTGGATTAGCCGTCGACAAATTGGACACATTTTGTTCTCCCCATCCATAATCCTGCAAAAGCCAAACATATAAAATCTGTTATCCTTATGGTAATTGAATTGCAATGCAAGCATATGTGTATATTTATGTATTCATAGTTTCAACACAAAACTCGGATTCGGTACATGACGATCATCTAATATTGTACATGAGTTGAACTCGAATTTTATGTGATTAATGGAACATGAACTTGCAATGCATGTATCTAGCTCTCATCATTTGTTCCACCATTGAATTAATCGTCTAAGTTCATTAGTTTTTTGATTCAACGGTAAAGGGTGATTGAGCTAGGTTATACGCATCTCGACTAATCATCTCCCCGATCCGATTAAAAGTAGGTCATTCATACTGGGATTAGGATGTTCATGAGAGATAATTCTCTTATGTCCTGACCTCAAAGGATAGCTACAAATTAAATTCAGAACGTTTAAATCTACAGTTCATTCTTATAATCTGTGAGTTTTTATATATGAAACAGACTATGAAGTTGTTGTAAAGAATGTACCTCTGAGCACAATCACAGCATGTGGCACAGTGGCCACAAGGAACAAAGAAGCAGTTGCGCAGCATATCATAGCAAATAACACAAATCTTCCCATCATATAAATCCTCCGATGAGCTAGAAGTGACAGACTCCCCTTCTTCCTCCCCTGTTCCATATGGCAATCCGTATGTCTTCTCCGGCATCAAAGGATAGGTCTCGGTTATTTCTCGGATGGCCGGAAATTCTTCGACTTGCCTCTCACTATCACATGCTCCAAGGTATTTCAACATGAGATAAATTATAATCACAAAAAATCCTGCAAAAAAAAAAACCACGAAAAAGTAAGCCAGAGATGCATAGGCAGCTACAAGTAACAATTGGCAACTGTCCCAGCTCCCAGACCCACGGGTCAATGAGTTGGGGTGGGCTAAAGGCTGAGTCGATCGAGGCTAACAAGTCAAAAACCATTATCCATTTCCCAACTAAGTTACCAACGAATCGCCAAATGACGGTGTGACCTGGCCCATAGATCAACAGAAGGTACCTAAAATTGTAATGTAGGTGAGAATTCTTGCCGCAAATGAAATCTCAATATACCATCTACCAAGATCTCCCTGCAATTAATTAATTTTAGTAATAATCAGATTCCATGGAACTCGATTAATAATTTATAAGGGTAAAGAAATGGAGAAGAACGTACATTGTTCGGTGTAGATATGATAACATATTCTGTTTTTGGGAAGAGAAGATTGAGCCGACATGAACCCTTCGTTGTTGAACACATGCTCTTTGCTCTCGTGGTATCGTACATCTTCGATGAAACGTTTACATCCATAGTCATTATAATGCTTCTAGGGTTTGAGTTTATGATGCCAACATAGTACCTGTCATCTTCCTCAATACTGTATAGAGCTTCTTTACCTAAAACACCCACATTTTACATTTTCAGTCTTACAAGTTACAATTCATCCGTTACTTTGGTTTTCAATTAACACAAAAAATTATAAGAATCATTACTAAGATAATATCCAAATATTTGTATTAATGGATGATGATCCTCAACACAAATATTT